ATGAGATGCAAAGCAGAGAGCCACCGGGGTGTTACACTGGTAATGGGAATTTGTTTGTGGAAGGGAGGGCTGATCAGCAAGCTGTGGCTTATTTCATTAAGCCAGGATGCTGGCAGAATGATTAGTGACTGCTGAGCTAGACAGAAGCCAGAGCCAGTCCTGGTGTTTGTGAACTGAAATATGTAGGGCCCTGTTTTTAAAAAATGCAATGTTGTGGCTGCACTGTGAGGCTAAGCTGCTTCCCGGTCAATTCTTCTGGAGAACGATTGATTTCCTTGGATTTCCGCAGTAACAAGAGGTGCCCAATACCGAGGCCATTCTTTAGTGGGTAGAATTCTTCCTCTTCTCGGCGCTTCTAGTTTTAATCACAGCCTTCCCTGCCGGGCCAGTCTGGGGGGTCCTCCCTTCCTTTCTGTGTACTAGTAACAGGGTACTTAGCAGGATCTGCAGGTTCATTGGAATGACAGGCCGTTGCGGTGAGTGTGTCTGCTGTAGTGTTGAACTTGCAACCGCTGGGATGTCCACCCTATGTTGTAGCACCCTTGCCACCTCACCCCAATTTGGAGGGGAGGAGGGGAGGGTTCAGACAGCACATGCCACCTGCCCATTCTTTCATGTGTACTGGGATCTCATGAGGCAGCTACATGCCTGGCACTTCTGGGTGGATGTGAATCCAAATCCTACCACTGCGTAACTGTGTGGGCTTGGGAAATTCCTGCCCCTGCTCCATACCTCAGTTTCCCTGACAAGAAAAAGAGAGGGTCTAGGGGAGTGTTCGGGGTAGCGCACTGATGTCTGATTTGCCATTCAAGGCCTCTGTAGTATCTCTCGTGTTGGACAACATGCATCCGCTGGCCCTGCGTTGGAGGGCTCCATTCTGCCCAGTGCAAATCCCATTCAAGTGGTTGGCAGCTGTGGGCACTCAGCTTTTTTCAAACCTGGGGTCCTGCAAGGGAGGCACGAAACCTATCCTGTAGCACAGGGAACCATGCCCACCTGCAGCCAGGACAGCGTGTTCCCTCTGTGTTGTGACCTCCCCTCAAGGGGCCCGTCAGGCTCGTGCTGACAGTCCGGCCAGGGGCTGCGTTCTGCGGAGGCACCTTGCACTGTGTTGCTTGCCATGGGAGCTGAGTCTGAGCCACGTCCCAGTGCATCCTCATCCCCCTGGGTAATCACCGAGGACGAGGCAGCAAGGCTTGCTGGGGGCTGCATTACGCGGGTCCCTCCTGCTGTTGAGACTTCCTTCACACGCCACTCCTCCCCCTCCTCCGCAGGTCTCCAGAGCCCAGAGCCAATCAGCGGCCACGAGCGAGAGCAGGAAATTTGCCAATAAGCACAGCAAGAAAGCCTTGAAGGCCAGCCTGACCCTGGGCATCCTGCTTGGCATGTTCTTCGTGGCCTGGCTCCCCTTCTTTGTGGCTAACATGGCACAAGTAAGTCCGGGCAGATTGTTTTCTACCCCTATCCATCACATGCCCCCCCCCTTGAGCAAAGCCCCTGAGGAGCAGCGTGGATAAACACAAGTGCAATGTCTGTGGCTCCCACACAAATGTCACTGGCCTCCCTGCCCTTCTTCTGGGCCCTTTCCCATCCCTGCCCATGTGACATCTGGCTGGAAGGGCCCATTTTTAAAAGGTGCTTTGAAGGCAGTGGGGAGCGAGATGCCTACACACAGAGCTCTCAGCTCCCCAGGGCAAGGACTGTCCTTTGTGCAAGGATGTCTGGGGCCATGGCTGGTGGAAGCCATGGCTGCTTGGCCAGGAGCTAGAACCAGGCGAAGCAGGACACACGACTGCTGCTCGTGGGCCTTCCTGAAGGCCATTTTAGCTTCTTGTACTGGCTCAATCCCACCCTCCCAGTGCAAGTCCTGCCTCTGTGCTGGGAACCTGCAGTGAGGCGAACACGCTGAGCCCCTCTCAAAGCCAAGCTCATTCACCCCTGCTGGGAGGGGGAAGCACTGTTGCTCCCCACGCATGGGGCTGATGGCTTCGCCAGCGCACTCCCGCTTCTGTAGCTGCACCCAGTGAGGCAGCCCCTTCTGGAAAGGGAGCTTGGCCCCCCTGTCCTGTACTGATTCTCTTTGCAAGAAGCTGAGGAGTCCTGGATGCTTCTCCCACCCCTGCTGTGACGAACCCTGCCCCAGGCTGCTGTCTGCGTTTGCTTTTCCGTGATCCCCCACAGGGACTTCCCTCCTTGGGGCGCGTGGAAAGGCCCAGAACTCCCTCCGCAAAGGCCAGAGCTGGGATGTGACTGTCCTGGGGGCAGCACAACCAAGCCCCAGAGCACAGAAAGCTCTGGGAAAGGTTGAGGCAGCCACAGCACTGCAAACAGCCTCAGTGACTTGGTCTAACCTCTGCTCTCTCCCCCCCCGCAGGCAGTATGTGACTGCGTTCCTGCTGGCTTCTTTGACGTGCTCACCTGGCTTGGTTACTGCAACAGCACCATGAACCCTATCATCTACCCGCTCTTCATGAGGGACTTCAAGAGAGCCATGGCTAAGTACCTGCCCTGCTGCCGGCGCTCGTGGGAACGCAGGCCCAGTGCCATCTCCCTGTCCATGAGGAACTCCAACAGCGGGCAGCGGTTGGGGATGTCCCTCAAGAATGTCCTCACTTTGCAGGGTGAGACTGACTCTGTGGACTCGGTCATCCAAGTGAACGAGCACATCTTTCTGCCCGCTTGCAAAGACCATCACTTGGAGTCCATCCCAGTCACCGGGGCCGATTCAGTCAACCTATCTGACTTGGACCACACAGACCAGGAGCTGCAGATCAATCAACTAAACACTCCCATGGATTGACCGAGGTGCTTGGACAGGAACAAAAGATGGCTGGGGAGAGCTCGTTATGGGGTCTCCCAATTGACAAACTAGCCATATGCTGCCTAATGGTACCTGCTGCCATATGGTGGGGCCCCTGAGGACAAAGGCAGAGATGGAGGAGTAGGTGGCGCTGTGTGTGCGTGTGCATGTATATGTATAGGTACAGGGACCTCTTGAACCAAAACGGACTGTACAGACATCCCACAGCATTGATTTACCATGATATATAGCCCCCTGCCACCCTGCAAACAAATCACTGGGTTCTTTGACAGCTTAGCTGCAGGAAGGGAAATGTATCTCCTCTTTGTGTGGAAGTCGCTAACCATTTCTTCATCTGTTACAGTTTGGGCTTGTTTAAAAAGGTGAACCCACATTTTATTGCTGAATTGCTGGTCTCTCTGTACTTGCTTTCTCACTGCTGCTACTCCCTGCTCCTTATCTGTGAACCATGAAGCAGCCCAAGTGCTCTTAGAGGCTGAACTAGGCATGAAGTGCCTGGGTATGATGCTTTTAGTATCTCTGAGTTAAGAAAACAGTGGTGATATTTTCCCTTCTCTTGATCAGAATGTAGAATTTGAAATCAGCCCACAGCAAAAATGAAGAGGATGAGAAAAAAGCTGAACTGGATCTAGCAGGCAAAGGAATCCAAGAAGAGCCCAGTGCTGCCTCCTGACAGAGAGCAATCTCTGCTCCGTGCCAGTCCCTTTCATACTGGTACACAAGGTTTGAAGGATGTCTGGAAAACTCTGGGATGCTGGATTCTCTTGTTCTGTTCTGAAAGCCCAAGTAAAGGGGGCACTTTGAGGGTGAGCCTTTAAAGGGCAAAAGCCAGGCTGCTACTCTGACCCTGCAAGCCCCAGCTGCCAGACTAGTGCTGTGGCACTAGTACTAGTACTCTGCCTAGAAACATGCATTTTCACTTGCCGAGTGCCCGTAATTGCTGGTGAAGTCTGTGGGAGCTGCAAGGGGGCACATTTCTGTCTGGAGCAGAGGCCTACACTAGATGATCCTGAGGTCCCTTCCAGCCCTCATTTTCTATGTTTCTATACTAACTGCCTCAGTTTGCCCATCTGAAGGCAGGGATCATAGTGCTCACCTGCTTTCACAAAGCGCCTTGACATCCTTGGACTAACAGTGGGCAACTGTCTGCACAGTCTAACTGCTGTCATTGTGGAGGCTATTGTGATGAAGGGGGGTGCAGTTACAAATTCATGGGAAACAATTCAAAACATAATCTCGGTGTTTGTGCCCCAAGGTACGGGTGGACGGCACTGCTGTGTTTGGTGACGTATCCCGGGAGCAGCATTCGCTCATCCTGTGGCCACAGTCCGATTTGGGCAGCTGCATTCTGCCAATCTAAACCCCACCTGCAGTTTGAATCCAGGTGCAGAGATCCACTCTGCTGAGCTGGCTTTTGCCACATGAAACGGCTCCAGTGCTCCAACCATGGCAGACCTGCATTCGAGGTAGAGGTAGGCGACCACGACTTCCACGGAGCAGCTTAGGACTGTTGTTGGAACGGATGTCATGCTCAGCAGCACAGCAGGTCAAATGCAGGGGTTGGGGAAAGCATCACACACGGCACAGAGGACAGCACACGCACATTTTCTGCCCAGTCTGAGAGTGCACAAACCAACATGTGGTCGTATTAGCAAGCCTGGGGTGGGCGGTGTTTTGGAAAGGGAAAATACAGATTAATTTTGTTCCTCTTATTAACGTCAAGTTAAAAGCCTTGGAGGGAAAGGGGATTTCTTGAAGGGAGATGTGAAGGACAGAAAAGAAAAGGATGGGTGCTTTGCTGCCTATTAGGTCACTGAAAAAAACTTTGCCTTGTATGACAATTGTGAGACTTGGCCCTGGCTTCCCTACTTTTTATCCAAGGATCTCAACACACTTTGCAAAAGGCAATGAAGCTTCAAACCTGCCAGAGAACTGCTCAGTGTTATTCTCTCCATCGTACATACAATGCATTCTGGAGAGTGTCTTAATTAAACCCTTACAGCCATGCATTGTCAGAGGATGAATCTGGGTATCCTCATCCCTGTCTCCCTATGACAGGTAGGTAAGACTCACCTTGGTGAATCAATGTGCACTGTGCATGTAGATCCAGCATTTAAAAAACCTGACAATGATACAAAACAAATTCACCCCTTTAATTCCCAAGTGACAAGCTGTTCTTCAAACAGACAAGTTTCTGGTTCCCAAGATACTCTAATAATGCTGCCACAATCACTTGGTTTCCCCAAGTTTCACAACATGAAGCAGCATTTTCTTACCATGATCATGGCAGTAACCTCCGAGGACCTCAGCTAGTGCCAATCAGGACAACTCCATGATTTCTGTGGCTCTTGGCTGATCTACAGCAGCTGAGAACCTGACTCTGTCAGGTGAGAAGACAGTCACAGCAGCTCCGATGGCTTTGTCCCAGTGACACTCCACTTCCATGCTCCAGTTTCTATAACATCTTCTAAGCTGCAGTCAGTGTCCATCCTGCTCCACCTTCTGCAGTCCAGTGTAGAGAGACAGCACCTGGCCCAAGTGTTTTTGTCACTGTTAACACTAGGGTCAGTCTATTCCTGTCTGCCTGTCTTGCCAATGTGCGCAGAAAGAACAGATGGAAGAAGAAAACGAGGGGGTGGCACAGCAACACCACCGTGGTCCCATAACCCTGAGCTAGCCCTAAGGCAGAAGAAGCTAATGCCAGAGTGCAACAACTCACATCTGAATCCCACTGGAATTCATGCAGGGGAGTAAGTAAACCAGATCTGAAGTGCTGAAGGAATAGATGTCAGCTTTCACGGGGGTTTTCTCAGGTACATTAGAGCAGTTTGGCTGTATTGCAGCAATTGCACCAGCTGGGCTTTTCCATTCCAGCCTCTGACCACTGCTGATGGTGCTTCCTACCCTGTAGCGTAAGGAGATGTGGTGTAAGGAAGGTGAGAAGAAGCAATTGCAAAATGAAGAGTGCACCAGTCCTGCAGGACATGCTGGTGTTCCAGCCCAGCCGCTGGGAGTCTCCTGGTGTTGTAGGAGCCTGAGAGACGCTGTGATCCTGCCAGAACATCCTCCCACTCTAACACTCTCAAAAAGATCTCCAAATGGTTTCCACTGAAAACCAGTACTGCCCAGGGTTATTCAACGGTTCTAATGGCTCTTTAACCTAACAGTGCCAGACCTAAGGAAGTTATTAGCTGTGCCAGCAACCAGCTGCTCATGTTTTCTAGTAACTGCATTTAGCGTTCAGCCCAGGTGTGCACTGAAGACCCAGGTAGGTCAAGGCTGTCTTGCACCAAAGCACTAGGCAGGTTGTGTTTGCTGGTCATGACGCAGTGACCAAGGAAGGAGCAAGGGATTGTTCAGTGTTGATCTCTCAGATTCAGTCTAGACTTTGGTCTGCTGCCTGCTTCTTGATGTCATTATTGTTCGAATAGTCTGGGCTGTGGCAGGAGATTTCTCCAAGGACATGACTAGAAGAACCAGGGCAGCACAGGGAGCTGGCTGATAAAGGTTTGTCACTTGGGCTTTGGTCTCTGCTGGTATCTGATGAGACTGGAGATTCGGAAGCCTTGGGGTGTGTAAGGGGAGAGTTTCTGCCACTCGGGCACAGTCTATCACTAGCTATGGGCTCCCAGGACCAGTGGTCAGACTTGATGGCACCATCTTCTACCACCCTGCTGTTCTCTCCCTGAGTCTCATTGTCTGCTGGCTCCTGTCTTTTCTTGCCCTGGCTGGAGAAGAGGCTGGTGCTCCCCATCTCCTCCAGGCGACACTCCTTGGTTTTAATGCCCACAGCCTTCAGGATAGTGTTCATTTGCTTCATGTAGTCCAGGTGCCCGCTGACCTGCAAAGAACAACCACGGCCTGTTAGTATGAAAAACCCAAGTGGAATGCAGCTAAGCCCCATGCACGGAGAGCAGAGGCAGCCAGGAGGACCTGCCTCAGCCCTAGAAAGCAGGGAGAACTCGATCTGAAAAAAGCAGTTCCCTAAGAATCACTCCGAGGGATCGCTGTCCTGGTCATGCACAGCTTCTCATTTGCTGCACTCTCCCTCCATTGCCCCAGGCCCGGATCACCGCTGATCCCACTCCTCTAAGGTTTAAGTGTTGGCTGGGATTAGAGAGGACATGCACTGAAATGACTGAGGTGCAGAGATGGGAGTCAGGAGGGCTGGGTTGCTGTCTGACCCGGGGTAAAACATCCCTTCTCCGTGCCTCAGTTTCCTCAGCTGTACAATGCAGACAGCTGTTTCTACGAGAAAGACCATTGCAGGACTCGATTCCTGCTTATGAGGGGCTTGTAGCTGGAAGCTGTTCCCTGGCACCAGACAGATACTGCTTTAAGAGTGAACTGAGCCTGCAGATGCAGAATACATCTGGCAGGGCTATCTAATTTATGACGCTACCTGTTAATGAGCTATGCTCCTCTGATTGGCATATCAGACCCCTCCCTCAAATATACACAAGAGAGAAAAATAACCAGACTATTTAAACAGCTCTTCCAATCACTTTTAAGAAGGGCAAGGGAACACTAAGGACTCCAGCCCTCAGGTCAGATGGAACCAGCTGCCTTTTCAGGCCAAGCTGCAGCAGCTGCTGAATGAGACTTTTCAAGCAGCTATGTTCCTCCAAATATCCTTTCCTATTCTACTTGCAGCTGTGTGTAAGGATGCACCTGTGAACACAAAACACGTACAAGAGACCCACCAGCAGGCTTCTCTTGGCAGGAGAGTGCTATTAAACTGAGTCAAAGCTAATTCTGCGGCCCATGCTTCAGCGAGCACAGAGGATGTTAGCAAAGATTAAAGGGCATGATTCTGCACCTTAAGTCTATCTGACATCTGCACTGTCCATGAGTTTGCTCACAGCACACACTGACCTCAGCTGGGAATCCCTGAAGCATGAGGGTTGACATGCATATGGCAAACAGTGGTTTGAGATCTGCCGAGAGGTTTGTCTCGCTAGTATTGTCAGGCAGGGAGTCTCCTGGCTAACTCTGTGCCAAAGAGGAGTTTGTCGGGGACACCCAGCTTTCACAGCCTTGTTTCTCCACCCTGGACTCAGGTAACTGCCGCCACCACGACATTTCTCACCCAGAGATCTCATGCTGTCCCCCTTGCTCTGTTCCCTTGTGCTATCTGAGACGTCTGGTGCCTGCTGCGGTAGGAGGCAGGTGCTCTTCAAAGGCCACTGCAGCAAAACTCTCTCACCGCAGCTCAGCTCCAGACTTGCTTATTAGCAATTAGTGTGTTGCCTACAGTTAAAAGCCAGTGAAAGATCTTAATCACTGTTCAGCTAGAGATCCCCGCCTATGCTCCGGTAAGCACAAAAAAGTCTTGCTGCAGATCCCAGTCTAGACTCCCCTCTCCAAAGCTGCTAGGTCCTGTATCCTCCAGCTTGGTCTCTGCTTCCCAGACCCCCTCCTTCCCTGGCAGAGCAGTATCTGCTTTTTTGCGTGTCCTTTCCTAGGCTCATTCAGCAACATTGTGAACAACTGCTAGCAGTAAAACTCATTTTCCTCTTCTAACGGTCTTTGCCGAACTGCTGGCATTTGAATGAACAAATCATGATGGCTCCTAGCAACCAGAAGGGCCTTGACAGAGCTCTCAGATGGTAAATCACACTCACATCCAACCATGAACATGCAAACCATGAACTCACCACATTACCTAACATTCTCCTCTCCCTGCAAGGGGGAACTCCTTCTAGAATAGCTGTAAGTCCCTCCAAAGGGGATGAAGTTTGGGCTAAAGTTCTGGCAAGATGACTAATCCCCAAGGCACAAAAGCAGTTCAGAGTTCCTTCGTGCAAAGGCAAAATTCAAGCCCACTGGCCATTTGCATAAAGCAGCTTTTGAGTGGTAACATTTGGATGCACT